AAAGTCGTTTTCCCGTCCTTTTATTTCGAATTATATGAGATTCCTCAAGAAAAAAAAATGAATCACCTCAAGAGTCTTCAAGAAGGAGACGCCGTGAGAGAAGACGAAGAGAAGGAGAGGGAGAGAGAGAGAGAGAGAGAGAGAGAGAGAGAGAGAAGAGAGAGAGAGAGAGAGAGAGAGAGAGAGAGAGAGAGGGAGGGAGAGGAGGGAGGGGAGGAGGGAGGGAGGGAGGGAGGGAGGGAGGGAGGGAGAGAGAGAGAGAGAGAGAGAGAGAGAGAGAGAGAGAGAGAGAGAGAGAGAGAGAGAGAGAGAGAGAGAGGAGAGAGAAATACACAGGCAGAGAGACAGAGACAGAGACAGAAAGAGAGAGGGAAAGACAGAGAGAGAGAGAGAGAGAAACATACAGCAGAGAGACAGAGACAGAGACAGAAAGAGAGAGGGAAGAAGACAGAAAGAGACACAGACACAGAGTGAGAGAGAGAGAGTGACAGAGTCTCTTAATGAAGTGGAGATAATGTCAGAGTAAGTGTCTTCGGGGACATTATCAGAGAATCGCCAATGGAGTGTTGGCGATGACTTAATGGGAGACTAAAGAAATCAGAAGGAGTCTTGGGTCAGCCAAAGGAGGTCACAGTTTTTATGTATATATATATATATATATATATATATATATATATATATATATATAATATATATATATTATATATATATATATAATATATTATATATATATATATATATATATAAGAGAGAGAGAGAGAGAGAGAGAGAGAGAGAGAGAGAGAGACAGACAGACAGAAGACAGAAGACAGATAGACAAACAGACAAAGACGGAGAGAGAGAATAAGAATCAACAGACACAAAAATCTACTCAATATTCTCAATGAAAACCCCATTCCATGAATTGAAAATCCAATCACAAAGTTCCAATACTAGTAATGAGAAATATAAAATCCTCTCACCGCTCCCCCCCCCTCCCTCCTCCTCCCCCCCTTCCCCCTCCCTCCCTCTCCCCTAAAAAAAAAAAAAAAAAAAAAAAAAAAAAAAAAAAAAAAAAAAAAAACAGAAAAGGACAACAGAAACATTCGCCGGAACTCTAATTATGTGAGAGAGAGATATGCAAATTAGATGAGCAAATCTCTGTTCCCCGAAAGGTTAATATGGATGTAATTCCGTAGAAAAAAAAAGAGATTTACAGATTAATTCATTAACGAGTATGATATTTTTTCCCTGTCCCTGTTCCTCCTCCTCCTACTCCTCCATCTCCTCATTCTCCTCTGTCTTCTTTCTCCTTCATCCTCGTCTTCCTCCTCCTCATTCTTCTTTTCTTCTTCTTCTTTCTTCTTCTCCTCCTCTCTTTTTTTTTCTTCTTCTTCTCCTCTTCCTTCCTCTCTTCTTTTTCTTTTCTTCTTTTCTTCTTTTCTTCTTCTCTCTCTTCCTCCCTCCCTCCTCCCCCCTCTCCCTCTTTCCCTCCTCTTCCCTCCCTCCCTCCCTCCTCCTCCCCCCCCCTCTCCCCTCTTTCTCCTCCCTCTCCCTCTCCTTCTCTCTCCCTCTCCCTCTTTCCCTCTTTCCTTCCCTCCCCTCCCTCCTTCCTTCCTCTTTCCTCCCTCCTTCCCTCCCTCTCTCTCTCTCTCTCTCTCCCTCCTCTTTCCCTCCTCTTTTCCTCCCTCCTTCCCTCCCCCCTCTCTCTCTCTCTCTCTCTCCCTCTCTCTCTCTCTCATCTTTCCCTCCCTCCTCTCCTCCCTCTTTCCCCTCTCCCTCCTCCCTTCCCTTCTTTCTTCCCTCCCTCCTCCTCCCTCTTTCCTTCCCCCTCCCTCCCCTCCTCCCTCTCTCTCTCTATCCCCTTTCTCTCTCTCTCCGTCCATCTCCCTCCACTGTGGTCTATGCCTTGGCGTGCAGGAGAATTTTCACGAAGCAAGTTTATTCGTCAACAGAAGCCCTTAAAAGAAACACTATTGATGGCAACATCTGGTAAGAAGACATTGCAGAGGGAATTAATGAAGGAGAGAGAGAGAGGGGGGGAGAGGGAGAGAGAGAGAGAATGGAGAGAGGGAGAGGGAGAGGGAGAAGGGAGAGGGGGAGAGGGAGAGGGAGAGAGAGAGAGAGAGAGAGAGAGAGAGAGAGAGAGAGAGAGAGAGAGAGAGAGAGAGAGAGAGAGGAGAGAGAGAGGAGAGGAGAGAGAAACAGAAAGAGAGTGAGAAAAGAGAGTGAGAAAAGAAAGAGATAGAGTGTAAGAGAGTACACGAATGAGAGAGAGAATGAGAGACTTACAATAAAGAACAAGAAAACAAAACAGGCATAATAAAGAAAAGAAACCCCACCTTAAAAGAAGACAACAACAGGCAAGCAACAAACAAACAAACAGACACAAAAATAGCCCAACCTCTCTCCCTCTCTCCCTCTGTCCCTCTCCCTCTTCTTTCTCTCCCTCCTTTTATTTGTTCTTCCTTCTTTGGTCAAATAAGTCCGTAAACAATGCGTACGACTTTAATTACACGAATATGGAGTAATAGCAAGACCCGAGGATATGTAAATAATCATAAAAGAGAGGGATAGATAGCCTGCAGTGATTCAGATCGTAATTAAGATGATGATGATGATGATAACTGCAGCTATACTCTTATATTTCTGTAATAAAACACGAAAAATGTTGTTGTTGTTGTTATTTGTGGTGTGGTGTCGTTGTTGTTGGTTGCTGTTAGTGGTGGTGTCGTTGTTGTTGTTGTTTTGTTGTTGTTGTTGTTATGTTGTTTTTTGTTGTTGTTGGTTGTTGTTGTTGCTGTTGTTGTTTTGTTTTTGTTGTTGTTGTTGTTGTTGTTCTGTTCCCTGTCGTTGTTATTTTCTTTCTTCTTTTTTAAGAGTATTATGGTTATTGTGACATTTTTTTAATTCGTATTTCCACTCCCCCACATAACACATTTCTTCCTCTCTCCTCCTTTACTCACACTCTGTCTCTTTCTTTCTCTCTCTATCTCTCCTTCTCTCTCTCTTTTCTCTCGTCCATTTCTCTTTCTCTTTCTCTTCTCTCTCTCTCCTCCCTCCCTCCCTTCCCTCCTCTCCCTCCTCCCTCCCTCCCTCCCTCCCTCCCTCCCTCCCTCCTCCTCCCTCCCTCCTCCCTCCCTCCCTCCCTCCCTCCCCCTCCCTCCCTCCCTCCCTCCCTCCCCTCCTCCTCTCTCTCTCTCCCCTTTTCCGAATCCTAAGACTGTCTCAAGGTATCTCCGACGTCAGCATCTGAAGATATCTCCACACTGCATAAGATTATGGGTCGACCCTGTAAGCTCCTATTTCTTCTCTTCTTTTCTATTTCTGTTTTTCTTTTCTTTATTTATTATTTTCTCTCTTTTTTGGGGGTGTATCTTCTTTTGATTTCTTTGTGTGTGTGTGTGTGTTGTTTGTTTTCTTTTGTTATATTTTCTGTTGGTGTTCGTCTCTCTATCTTATCTTCTTACTTTCTTCTCCTCTCTCTCTCTCTCTCTCCCTTCCTCTCTCCATCCTTCCCTCCCCTCTCCCTCCTTCTCTCTCTCCCTCCTCTCTCTCCATCCTTCCCTCCCTCTCCCCACCCTCTCTCACCCCATTTCCTTCCTTCCTCCTCCCCTCTCCCTTCTCCCCTTCTCCCCCTCCACCCAAGCACATTCTTGCTTCTCCCTCCTTCCCCCCCGCCCCCCTCACAGTCCTATCTCCCTGTACCTATCCATCAGACGGGCATTAACTAGTCTGTGCACGACCTTACTCTCCCTTTGTAGAGGGTGACTTACGGCAGCAAATGCAATCTCCCATAAAAGAGGGAAAAAAGGGAGAGAAAAAGAGGAGAAATGGAA